AATTACGGTGCGCTCCCTCCGGACTTTGTCTATGGAGGTACGCAAGGCTGTGGTGGGGACATCCATCAACCGAACACGTCCCCGTACACACAGCACTGTACGCAGGGCTAGGTAAGGTTAGATTTTAAGTTATGAGTGCCACTAGGGAACTCTGATCCATTTGAGTGTGTTATTATGATTGGTCAGGTCAACTGCTTATATTTGATATTAGAAATCGACATGTGTACAGTACAGTGAAAGGCATAAAGCTTAGCTGTACCCTAGCTTATGAACATATTCATTAAAAAAAACTAAATACAGATCAGCAGTTTTCATTCAAATTCAAATACTGTAAAATACTTTATTTTATTCAGTGATTTTTTCTTATATTTTACATTCAACTCGTCAAAAATCAGTGAAAATAAAATACATACAAAACACCCAATAATTCTTTTCAGCGAAAATTAATTCCAGCTAAAATAAAGTATTTTACAGTACATTTATTCAATATTGATTGGCTCAGGAGCAAAATATTGTCTATGCCCATAATGCGCACACACACACCTTGCCTTAATCAGCCGGCCCAAATGGACATTGAGTTGGGAGCCAGTCATGCCCAGCCTGATTGTAGAACGGTGACCTTGAGCATAGATAACACCAGCGCCATGATACTCTACTCAGGGACGAGTGGAGGTACGTCTGTTAAATGTCCCTGGTGCACGGCCTTCCAAAGATACGCCGGGGTTGAACAACACCTAGAAAGCCACGTGGTGATGGAAGTATGTTACGAATGCCTGCTCTACGACAAGGAGTGCGATAGGCTGAGAAGCATTGCGACTCACTACCCGAAGTGTCGTGCTTGCCGCACGATCACAGTACAACCATATGTGTGACGTCTGCCACGACTGATTCGTGTCACATATCGGGCTGGAACAACACCAGAGGCACAGGCACCCAGGCACAGACATACTTTATTGGGTTAAACAATATTTATTCGATAGTATAATATTATACATTTGTACCTCATCAGATTCATGAGATCTTTAGAGATCAGTGCGATGCTATGACTTTTTCCAGTTTTTATGTTCGATTTCATGCATAACGCGGGATCTCACAGTGAACTGAAAATGGTCTATTAACCTTAGATGCAAATGGCGACTGAGATCGTGCTGAGAGTGAGAGAGCTACAAGACTTGTTACATGAATCTGAAAAACAATGCACACAGTGAGGTTAAGAGAATGGAACATTATTTGAACGGCAAGAAACAAGTCAACTTGTGGTTCTCCCGCTCTCAACAAGATCTCAGTGGCTATTTGCATTCAAGGTAAATTCAAGGTAATTTAGATTTAAACATTTTGAGCGCAAACATTTTTCGAGACAACATGTACATAGTGAAAACATCCCAAAGTGGTACACCATCATATCCGATATACTAAGTACTGGCCATCACGTAGCATATCTAGTTATATTTCAACTTTTGTTTTGTTACAGGTAATTTGTTTGGATCTTTCTTCTGAGATGAATACTATTCCATTCATGTCTAAAGATGGGTGAGTAACAGACTACAAACAATCTGACAGTACAGTCAATTTCATGAAAGCATGAATTTTTTTTTTTTTTTCATATAAAATAAGTATAAAACTTTTATAAATATCAATTGATGATCTGCTTACTGGTTAAATTAATTAACTTAAAATTTGGTAATTAAAGTAAGGTACTGTATAACAGGTAATAAATTCAATTATACAAATTTCTATTCACAGAACCAAATATCCACCATTGCAGATGGTCAAGAGAGCTATTAATATATTCGTACACACCAAAACTGCTATAAATAGGCAGCATGAATTTGCATTAGTGGTTCTTCAAGATAATGCATTATGGGTAAGAATTTTTTGAAATCCAACACATTTGTCACTTTTTACAAAATAAAAAATAAAAACACTTAATTTTAAAAAAAAATTTCAAAAAGTTTGATCAAAACATTATCTATTGGGCAATAGGTAATTATGTCCATTTCATTTAAAATTATCTAAATTATTACAGAAAAATACATAAACATATGCTGAATGGAATGGACTAATTAAAATCCTCTGTTGACCTTGTTAGATTTCATTTGTCCATACATCTGTCACGGATTTTTAACCTGGAACTTGTCCTTCACTGCACAGGGTAGGGTGAGTTTTGTTTGCAGCAAAATGATTCAAATATAATACACTTTTCAATTAATTAAAGTTAAAATTTGTAAAGTAAATTAAAGTAATGTATCGTTTTAATTACATGAATAGACCTTTTTCCATTCACTGCGAGAATCACGCGTTATGCGTGAAATCGAACGTAAAACAGGACAAACAAAGGTCATAGCGTTGTAGTTGTGTCAAACATCGTGTGGGATTTGACAAACGCAAAAGTATTTTGGGGACATTTCCATGCTTAATAATGTGCTGTCCACATTTGATGATAGGCAATTTCGATTAAGTAAGGGTATTCGAAAGCAATATTCCTCTGTCGAAGACCGGCCGGTCAATGTAAGCTACGAAATAAAGAAATTCTAGTTCAAAATCAAATCGTTTGATTTTTGCGGCAGACGTTCGACGTGCGTCTTTCATGCATCTCGCGAAATCTCGCAATTGTACGGAAAATCACCTATTGAAAAATGTGTACTCTAGATTTAGCATTGTATTGCTTCAAAAATATGTACTTCTATATGCATAATGCTTGTGGTCATTTGCATACTATAATGAGAAACTACAACCATGAAGTATACAATGTAGGACAACTCACAGGGGCTATGTCATCTTCACCAGCCAAAGTCCATTTATCTCCTCACCATTTTTCAGTGTTTACATGTTTACATCAATTTAGAGAAACTGTGTGATTCTGATGATGGACCTATGATATGTATTGTAGACAACCAATAATAATATTCTCATGTGTGTTTTTTTCGTAGATGCATAATTTTACCAGTAACACTGAGGAGTTCTGTTATGTGTTAGCAGATCTGAACAACGATAGTGATATTGACACCTTTGATATGTCTTCATTGTTTGATTTAATGTAAGCTTAAAAAAAAATTTTCTGTTAGTTTATTTATGGCTCATAATCCTTATTTTTGTCTATAGACTATTGTTTTCTCTCTATACCGGTATATTTTATATATCTATACATTGTGATTAATCTTTTGTTATATATCTATTGTTATCAATCTATCTGTTCTATCCACACCCTAACATACTCTAGATACTAGTACTTGATAAAGACAGGTAGATTGAAAATACTAGTAGATAGACAACACTGGATAGACAACAATGGATAGATAACAATGGATATATATAACAATAGATAAAGAACAATTGATTGAGTCAAATCATTTATCCAAGCCATGATTTGATTTGTTAAAAAACACTGTCAATAAATAAGCTGCTTTCTGATTGGCTTGACTGTTAGGTATTAGTGTTGTTTAGCCAATCAGGTATAGTCTTGTAAGTTACATTGATGTGACTCTGCAATAGCATTGTACTTGTGATGACTGAGCTGATAGGAATTTGATGGATTATTTTTGAATTGATAGGTTTTTATCGTTCCCATATTCTCATTGTTGTTTATAACAATAATCTGTGGCCAGGATAACTCAGATAATTTTTATTCAATCTTTATCAACTTTAAAACAGGAAGACCTCAATGTTCTTGTAAAATACAATTCAAATGTAATCTAAAAACAGATTTACTTGTGTGCATCTGAACCTTTATCTCTTGACACGCATAAGCGTTCTCTAATACCGTACTTGACCGCGTTAGCGCCCAGGGGCCTCAACTCAGAAAATCACAATATTTTAGGGGTGGGCGCTTACCTGAGCACCCCCCTCGAAAAAGAGTGCAAATGAAAATTTTGATTCATCAAGTGACAAATTACGTCTTTGAGGGAAAATCAAATTACTAAATTAGTTGCGTCGTCATTGATTTTCACAATGAAGAAACAGAAATGACCACAAAAAATACACACATTTTATTACAATATTAATTACGTACCACCATAATTTACTGAATTAAAAACATTTGAGTCTGTTGGAACACAATCGAAGTCAAAATTATCATATTATTTCCACCATGATGCATTTGCAGATTTGACCTACAGCAGCGTCTATTGACCTAATGGGTCAAGTTGGTTATTAACTAATCAGAATGCTGTGTTTTGACTGACGCAATTCTTCGGAAATTCACAAAGACTTTCCGGTAACACAATGCGGAAGTGAATTATCGATGTCGAAGTACGATCTCTTGGAATTGATTTCAGCGAATAAACGACATGGTTTTTCCAAAAAACTAATAAATAGCCATTTTTGAGAGGTAAACTGAATATGGCATGAAATATTTATCGCATTTTGCTTTTTATTAACAGGTCATTGTCGAAGCGTAGTTTACACACGGTTATCGTATTCTACGCATTTACAACATGTTCACAGCAATCGATATCCACGCTGTATCATATAAAAACGATTACCAAGATTAGTTACGCAAGACCAAGTTTTAAATTAGTTGCATTTTGAAGGGGTGAGCGCTTTGCCGAATGTGACCCCAAATATAAAAATTGCGCAAAAGTGGGGGATGGGCGCTTGCCCGGGCATGGGCGCTAACGCGGTCAAGTACGGTAATAAAAACAAACATGGTTGCCACCAGGGTTTGACCGAGCAAAGAAGTTCGCTGATTCAGATTCTATTCTAAACTTTTTGGATTTCGGCATTCCCATGGTGTATCCTTCAAAGGAAAAAATGTATAATAATAAGGTTATTACAAGGATACCTCAAAGTATGCACTCAGACAGTATGCTGTCGTATCGACCTCCTCTGTGCATCTGTCTCTACTTGCGCTGTACTGTCTTCGTGCAATCTTTGAGGTATTCTCGTAATAACCTCATATTCATTTGAGGATCCAACTCAAAACGGCGGCCAAATAATTCATAAATTTTATAACCACTGTTCTCATTTCATTTTCATTACTACAATGGGTATGATGTTTGACCTTTGACCCACATATCCCCACTAAACAGAAAGTCCTGCTCCCATTCCCCAAGAATTGTTCCTAATTTTGTTGATAAATTAACAGTTATTTCATTGAGTTTGTAGCCATTATGACATAATTTTCATCATAAATCACAGTATAGTTCACAAATCATGCACAAGATGATGAATAGTTTTGCTAGATTTGAATTACCCCCCCCCCCCTCCATTATTAAAATTATAACATATGGGGAAACAGTATCGTTCAATTTTTTTAAATTATGTCATGACATCATGTAATTAATTATTCATGAAGACTAACAAGTAAAAAAATTTTAAAAAGGGGTCAATATATTGATAACTCCTGTGGCATTAAACAACTTTCCCTAGGATTCATTAAATCATCTAAAACACAAGGTTGGGGTTTGAAAATGTCTTTATTAGTCCCCGTTCGGACGAAAATGTCGTATTTTGGACATGCTTTGTCAGTTTTCATTCAAACTTGGTACATAGAATATACATGTTAGGATACATGTTCATGACGATTTATTTCACAATTGGATCAAAGATGGCCGACTGGCAGCCATCTTGTTTTTTGAAAATGTTGTATTTTGGACATGCTTTATCAGTTGTCATTCAAATTTAGTACATAGATCATACATGTTAGGATACATGTCCCCGATCGTCCGTGAGTTCCTGAGTCTGTCCGTCCGTCTGTGTGTCCGTCCTTCCGTGCATCAGTCTGTCCAGAGTCATATCTCAGAATCCTTTGGACTGATTCCGTTCATTCTTTGCATGTGCCTAGTCCTTTATGTGGGACATATGCACATGCAGCGGTTTAGCGATTTGATTCAAAATGGCCGACTGGCAGCCATCTTGTTTTTTGAAAATGTTGTATTTTGGACATGATTTGTCAGTTGTCATTCAAACTTGGTACATAGATTATAAATGTTAGGATACATGTCCATGACAATTTATTTCGCAATTGGATCAAAGATGGTCGACTGGCAGCCATCTGGTTTTTTGAAAATATTGTATTTTGGTCATGCTTTGTCAGTTGTCATTCAGACTTGGTACATAGATTATACATGTTAGGATACATGTCCATGACAATTTATTTCGCAATTGGATCAAAGATGGTCGACTGGCAGGCATCTTGTTTGTTTTTTTATGCGGTATCTTGGACGTGCTCTGTCAGTTTTCATTCAAATTTGGCACATACATGTACTTTATACATGTTAGGATGCATGTCCATGACAATTTGTTTCAAAATCTGGTCAAGGATGGCCGATTGATAGCATCTGATTTTTTGGCCTTACTACTATATTTCCACAATTTATGTACCATTTTCATTCGTATTTGGCACATACATCATACATATCAGTGTGTTTCATAATCAGATCAAAGATGGCTGAATAACAACTGTTTTTATTTTGGCCATATTACTACTACACGGAACAAGTGTTTTGATGTAAATAAACAATCTGTTGTATACGTCACTTGGAACTCAAGTTTCAAGGACACGTCGCGATAACCCCTCCGCTTTAATATGACGAGCACAGAGAGAACTTTCAAAAATTTAACTGGGACTGTGTCATTTTCAATGACTTGTTGTTTTATCATTTGTACGTTTTGTCCTAATTTGATCTGTTTCACTATACCACATTCTATGATTACCCTCATTCTATTTTTAGTAAGACCTCATTCAGCCAATCATGTGGCTTGCATGAAATCAATGTCAACATTTCATTCGGTATTTTCTTAATGTCGCAATAATAGAAGTATGTGCAAATTGTTTGTCTGTCTGTCCATCCATCCATCCGTCCAAAGACATTTTCTATTGTCTTTGGTTCGTCTGTCTGGCACCAGCATATCTTGTTCATATAATCCTGCATGGCAAAATAACAAAGTTAATTATTTTTCCAGTTATGAAAAAGTTGATCTTCCCCCTATTAAGGGAAATATTGAGATAATACCACCACCGTATATTGTGCGTACTATTATGATATATGGCCGATCGAACTGTGTGCCTGAATTCCATAGCGGTCAAGAGGTAGGTTCAATAAATCTTGATGAGTTGTGATTGGTTCATTCACAATATTCTGATTTGTAAGCAGTCACGGCATTTGAAACTCTGCTTATTATTATGCCTTTTGTAGCTAAATAATCTCCCTCTAATCATGACACCTCAGATAATTTATTTATGTACATTGCTTACAAAGTGTGTTACTTGATTAGAAGTCATTATTTCATTATAGAAGTCATTATTTCTTTATAGACACAAAAGATTTTGATGCAATCCCCATACTTCTTCATGGATATATTTTACATTCATGAAGCACCGGCGGAAAGCAATTATTGTGAGGTATGTACTAGTATGCAACCTGTTTATTTGCATATTGTATTGTTATATTGTGAGGTATGTATGCAACCTGTGTATTTGCATATTGTATTGTTATATTGTGAGGTATGTATGCAACTGTTTATTTGTATATTGTATTTTTATATTGTGAGGTATGTATGCAATCTGTTTATTTGCATATTGTATTGTTATATTGTGAGGTATGTATGCAACCTGTTTATTTGCATATTGTATTGTTATATTGTGAGGTATGTATGCAATCTGTTTATTTGCATATTGTATTGTTATATTGTGAGGTATGTATGCAATCTGTTTATTTGCATATTGTATTGTTATATTGTGAGGTATGTATGCAACTGTTTATTTGCATATTGTATTGTTATATTGTGAGGTATGTATGCAACCTTGTTTATTTGCATATTGTATTGTTATATTGTGAGGTATGTATGCAACTGTTTATTTTCATATTGTATTGTTATATTGTGAGGTATGTATGCAACCTGTTTATTTGCATATTGTATTGTTATATTGTGAGGTATGTATGCAATCTGTTTATTTGCTCATTGTATTGTTATATTGTGAGGTATGTATGCAACCTTGTTTATTTGCATATTGTATTGTTATATTGTGAGGTATGTATGAAACCTGTTCATTTGCATATTGTATTGTTATATTGTGAGGTATGTATGTAACCTGTTCATTTGCATATTGTATAGTTATATTTATTGCATTTAAAATTGTTAAAAAAAATTGTTGCATTTCAAACTGCGCATGCACACACATAGTAATTTCTTGAAATGCATACTAATTAAGTAACTTGGCAAAAATTATGTGCAACTTTGAACACTAGTACTAGAGTAAAACACCAAAGTGCTTCTGCATTCTTCATGAATCTTCAGTTTGCTAGTTTCTGATCAAAAATCCGTCCTGAAAAACACTACATCAGTTTTTCAATTATTTTTCCAACTCATAATTATAGGATCAGTCAAATTATAACTATCATGCTGGCTATTGGAATACATTTTGTCATTTCACTTATGAATATTAATTTATGCAAATGAATGATTTTATTTCATCCAGCCTTGTCATCCCTCTCCCTCGCTATATTTCATATTTTCAAATGTTTATATTGAGTTACTAGTAGGGATTCATAATGGAAATATTTGTTTTTCCATGGGTGCATGGGTTAATTAAAGTGATATCGGCAGTATTCCAGAGGTTTATGTCCCATCAAGAGTGTCAGAGTTTTATAATATAAGTTTCCTACCTTTAGTAAAAATATGTTTTTGTTTTGTTTTAGGAGATATTTGATAGTTTGTGTGAACTGGATGAAGGAGGAAAATCATTTGTGTTTGAAGTTGGCAGAAATCCAACCTATCTCCATGACAACATGGCAAAACTTGTAGCTCATCCATTACAGCGACCGTTACAGAGAAACATCAACTACAAATTAAATCATGAGATTAGCTGATTGATGAATTGTTTTTCAAATGTAACCTTTTTATTCTTGAAAACATTCTATGAATTATTTATAAATTCCATACATTGTTGATGGAATAGCAGGAATTGTGCTTTCATGTATACTCCATCAATGAGTTACTAAGTTACTAAGTTTGAGAAAATGTTGTCTCAGCCAATTACTATTTCACTGTAAGTAGTCCAGAGAAATTGATCAACCTCTTGTAATTAACATAACTAACACATTTTACTTCAATATAAATATTTCAAAGCTGTACAAAACGAATGTCTTTGTCAGCAATTTTGTCAAAGGAAATAAAATTTGTTGAAAAATTAAATTTAGTCGGAATTTAGCTGGAAAACACTACATCTGAATTCATCAAAAACCATCACATTTGCAAATGATTATCGGAGACTAAACTTATGAATATATTGACAGTTGTCGAATCCTATGGAAATATGTTCAAGTTGATCAATAAGTTATGAAGAGTGAATCTGAGAAAAAAAAGGCTAATATAAGCATACATGGATTAGAGAAAGACTAGGTGCTGTCATTGAATCGAATTGAAGAGTTGAAGTGGGGGTCATTACAGTGAAATCACAGGCTCAATGACAATTACAATTTTGAAACAGTGACTCGCGTAATTTTGTTTACTCATTTGAACACTCAAGTAAATTGAATTGAATGGGCAATGTGGAAAACTTAAACAAAAGTATTTCTCAGGCATATTTGTTGGAAATTTCATCTTGCTAAAAATAGTTAAGACTGATTTATTATGAAATAAAAATGAATCAATAATAAAAATGCATTTGTGTTTTTATTCCAAAACATTTACCATAGACACATTATTGCATTATTACCCACTTTGAGAGTCTATCATAAGTTTGTATCCATCCATCCATCCAATTTTTGTTTGGTCCATATTCTTTGTGGGCATAGTTGTGATAGTTATTTATGTTTATAAATATTTATAAATTCAAACTGACACAATAGGTTTCTAGTGCTGATGGAATAACATTGGAACATTTTCAATTGAGATTTTGCATTGTGCGCACAATGTGCATTGTGCTTGTCAATTGGCTGGTTGGATCAACTGCCATTGAATTTATAAATATTTATAACAATCTCGGGAATGGGTTTGTTGTGTCAATAGTATGGTATTATAACAAACATAATTTTGGCAGAAATTAAAAAGAGTAGAAATAAGAGCTGTATTTAAAACCACCTTCAAATTATTCACTTTAAAGGATGGTGGTTGTTGTGTCGTGTCGCGTTGCCTGTGCGCGAGAGATGACTTTTATGACTTTGATTCTTGTGTAGATCAACGCCTACTAAACAGATGCTACCAAAATTCATCTAGTATATTCCTGGAGTAATTGAATTGTCAAAGGAAGCTATTTTTTTTCCAATTCGATTTTTGTTTGATCTTATGTTGAGAAAGCAATTTTTTTTTACTATTGAGCCTTTGAGCCACAGCCTTTGAGTTCTTTTTAAAAATCCTCAAGCCTTCTGATTTCAAACAACGTGTTACTTCATCTATTCATGGGGTGAACATCCTAGCATTTTCACTGCCTGGCAACCATCACCGGTGAAAACAAAAGGAGAAACCTCTTAGAAAACTGTACTTTAGGCTATTTGTTGAGATTCTCCTGAACAGTGTAACATGACTACCCCTACATGTGCAATATATATAAATTTGGCTGCTTGATTAAGTTGTTTTCTTCTACCAATATTCCACAGCAACTTGCACAGAACCCATAGATTTACATGGTACAGTGGTGCACATACAAGCAACATACTACAATGTAGTACATTTAGAACTGTTTTACTGTCATAAGATAAATGTAATTCTAATCCCTATTTTTAATAAGAAATGTTTTTAAATGTACCACTTGGTTTTGGTGCAGGCTTACTGTTACTGTTAAATCAATATACATGGAAAAGTGTTGGCCTTATTCATGTTATCTATAGGATGTGTGTGTCAGCTGTTCCACTGATATTTCAAGAACCAATTATAAAATTTCAATGAAACCTATTACATAGATGCTCTTAGAAAATGCACAGATTAGATTTTGGTTGAAATCTGAAACGTAATTTAATTAGCCAATTTCAAGCATTTTTTTCTCAATAACTATCTACTGGATTTCAATGAAACTTGATATATAGATGGTCTGAGATAATGTGCAGATCTGATTAGTTTCTGGTTACAATCTGTGCCTATTAATTTGGCAATGTTTAGCACTATTGGCAGTTGACATGCAACTAGTGCTGTAATGAAGGCAATTAAGGCAAGATGTATATACCAGATTTCCATATATGGTCATGTGACCTGATTAATATGCATAACTGTAATGTACTGAGCACTCTTGCAGATAGTGACATGCAACTAGTGTTATAATGAAAGCATCATTCAAGAGATTTGACTAATATGTCAGATGACTATATATGGTGACCATAATAATATACATAAATGTAATATAAGTACTGATGGAACATGCAACTTGTGCTATAATTGACTAGATATACATGCATCACCTAAATATTAAGTCATCATATATGGTCATGATTTCACTAAATGTTTTATCATCATAGGCAATTGGAATCAATCTGGTCACTGATTGCTCAAATGCTCTGCTCAGTTTGTTTGTTTGTTTGTGCTATGTGTTTTAAGTATAATTAATACAGTATTTCTTATTTGTTCTTCATGCCTCCAATATCTCGGCACACAAGAGTTCTTTCTAAGCTTTCTTTGATTTATCATAGTACGAAGAGTATTTGTTTTTAATTTAATTTAATTTTTTGTAATACAATTGACGCCCTCTATCGAGGGATCTAACATGACCAACTAAACTGGAAACTGCATTTGTTTCGTGATCGGTGAACTGAGGGCGGTAGTCATGTTTGCTTTCGTGTGTCAATTGCACGCTGTGTTTATTTTTGGACGTCTGCTCTAGATTATTATTGAGGGACTGTGCCTAGATAGATCGAATCGTTGTATTGGATCGGGGACTAGATTAATATATATAAAACAAACAGCATGTTAACGAGCTATATCGCTGTGTTATAGCCCTGTCTAGTGACGGTGTATACTGACATGCGCTCATATAGTTGTATACAAGTATATCGACATAGCCATAGACATTTCTTAGGTGTATGACGAGAGTGTGTAATCTCTCAGGGATAAATACAAGAATTTAGAACAATCCTTGCATTGATATGGATATCCGGGCACTACCGGTAGTAGAAATTCACCAGCGAGTAGGCATAGTGCTGAAAGTGTCTATAAATTATGTTTCAAAATAAACAGAGGTTACTTTTTGACATTTTTAATTGTCCATGGGTTCTTTTTTGACATTTTCGGGAATCAAAGGTGTCGTATTTTTGCTGTGGTGATGTAATGTGTGATATGTAGTAATGATAGGAATGTTATTTTGTTGTAAATTCGTTTCATGGAATTGTTTTTTTTTTTTAGAAATGTGTAACAAAGGGTGGGTTTTTGAAGAATGTGTTATCCCGGTCTGTGATTTTCACCAAAAGTTGGTGCCTCGCATATCCGTATATAAATAATACAAGTGGCTCCCGGGTGGACATTGGCCTACAGTAAGAACGTAGCAAGCGATAGCTCACCTGTAGAAAAAATCAGTCATTTGGATGAATAATTATATGTTGATCTCAACTTGAAGTTCGCGCTACTGTTTAGATCTTGAACTTTTATTATATACTGTGAATATTTTACGTTTCACTTGATTAATATAAGTAATGACTACTCGCGTGGCTGCCAAGTTTAAATAAAATAAACAGACTGAATGACTGAGTCCTACACTACGAGGTACTACAACTAATAAATCACCAATTTCGAGAAACTTGCTCATTTACAACCGAGTACTAATATATAATGTGATAGGGGGTCCGGGTATATAATAATAAAGATCATCCCAACTGAAGTCTACAGCTCCCTTTATGCATTGCTTATGTAAGTGAAATGAACCACGGGAATACCTGCGTTAGTAACATAATGTCCTGGCATAATGTAAGAGCGATGGATTGAGTTCTACATACAATTAATAGTACAGGTGTTCATGGAGACAAATTCACATTAATTATTTTCATAGAAGATTTGTTTAAAACCATCTCATATTATATTTTTAATGAACGCTCATAATTCACACTGAATAAAAATTGGTGTTACGTTAGATACAACCTTCATGTGTTCAAATGTCTGCTAAGTAAATCCTTTTTTGAAGATTTCAATGAATACTGTGAAAATATTAAAAGAGTGTCGCATTTTCTTTTTCAAAAATGTAGAGCATACATGGCGAATATGAAGGTCACAGCGATTTTGCATAACTTTTATTTTCTTTTAAATGTCTAGATTTTTTCAATTTCACCAGAATATGTTGTTCGTTTTTACATTCAAACCTTGTAAATTGAACTGACGAGGTATTTAGGCAATGTATGAAAATGTGAAGAAATATGACAAGCTCTCTCCGGGTATTACTCACCTGATCGATTATTTTGATGTCAGAATTGTATATATACATACATACATACATACATACATACATACATACAAAATATACCGGTACACAATTTGCATTGATTTTTGTAAATGGTCATCTTCTGTGTCCAATGTTTTGATGTCCATTGAAATTTCAATCAAATGATCGGTAAGCATATAAAAATGTTTATTTAATGCTTGACTGTGTGATTTATTGTTTAAAATACATTGAAATATGCAAACTTATTCAACATAACAATGCCGGTTGTTATATTAATTTTGACCATTGTTTTAAGCAACTATATTCAGTGTATGATAGGACGTTAGCATTTTCTTAGAATAATTAAATATAGAACTATATTAAGTACGAAGCGTTTTTGACTAGTATGTGCCAAAAAACCTTAAATTTCTTAAAATTGTTCATTCAATCATATGTCGTTGGTTTATGCAATGAGATACCAGTAGTTGGGGGTAATAATTGTTTCCTACCGGGTTGGATGGGGGAACACGAGACTTAAGAACTAAGTATATTTTACACGCGTTGTGTACGTCGTTATAAGTCCCATATTGAACACTGAGGACGACCACCGCCCATCAACTACCCACTAATTCAACTTTTTTGAATGTTATTATGTGTTTTTCTTTATTATTACCCTTATTTTGTTTTTTATGGGGGCAATCTATTCACACGTGTGGGGGGGGGGGGCTAATGTATGATGGGGGCTAATGCTTACCCGCTGATAGGGAATATTTATAAAGCAATCTAATTACCTTCCCTCTGAACTCTCCGAAGACAGTGTTGTATTTAGTAGATAATTATCCGCTCTTAGACTAACAACAATAGAGGACCTAACATGGGAGGTAAAATATTTAATGATGACGTCAATAACGGCCTGACTATTTAAAGTTCGGGGTACACGTGTTGCCTCATTGTTTAAATATAGAATTGATAATTTCTGGTCTTGCACTGAGCATTCTTCTAAATTGTCATAGCAAATACTTTAATTTCAAGTATTTGCTATGACAATTTAAATGAATGTATTCCTTAGCTGCATCGTAAACTCAGTGTTGTGTTGTCTAAGTCGTGTTTATAAAATATATTTCTGTATTTTTTTGTCTTGACCGCTAAAGCACGATCACACAATTGAAGATTTGGGATTAATGAAATAAATTTTAAAAAAATAAATGAATACAAATGCAACTGTTATTTTAGTATTCAAATGGTATTAATTTATAACCCGTATTCATTATAACACGTGTGGCGGGACTTTTAGTTTGGTCTTAGTACACAAAGACTATGGTTTATCTCCATTGTTAAACACCGTAAAGTTAATAATTCAGGATACTAGTATTATACAATGAATTCATTCGGTTTTCTAGGTACGCGCTGGTACACAGGAACCGTGTATCGGTACCAAGAAGAGTCAGACACCACATGCAGTCCACAACGTAACACTTGATAAGAAGTTTAAACACCATGACTATTTATAGTGGAAGGCGACAAATGTGTAATTATGCCGAAATAAAAAAAAAAATAGTCACGTGACTTTTACAGTGATCTGAAATAACGGAAGGTGTTTTTCAAAATCGAAATATTAGCCGTCATATAAAAATAAAAATATTCATATAAAAATAAAAACCACAATACTACTGTACAATACCACTTTACCAAATCAACCTATCAAAGAAATTAGTAATGTGATAACCACAATCAACTGAATATAAGACTCTTCCTAAATAAGTTTTAATATTTATTTTGCCGACGATGGCGCTGTTGACGACGGAGAGTTTACAATTATTGTTTTCATTCGCCAGACATAAGTACACTTACCCATTTGTTCTGTATTGCGAAAAATATTTGTTGTTCGAATATTTTTTTTTTTTCAATTAATGGGCGACGGCATAGCTTGATACATGTCAGGCTTTCCGTTGTTTTAATACAAACGAATATTCTTTTAACTGCATCATTCGTACACAACTCTTGACATGGGCAGGAGTTAAACAGGTACCGGTGCACACGTTCTAAGCTATAATCATGGAGGTATAAACAGTCCCTCTATGTGGTAATACAGTGACCCAGGTATGAATGTCACTGGCGGATACAGGAACTCGGTAAGGAGGGGGCTCATATTAACGTGGTCTTTGTGGGCTGTCAATTGATTTGTCTTTTTTTTGCGGCTAACCGTCATTATTTGTTAAATTATTTTCCTACAAATTTAATTCGAATATAATTTCCAAATAAAATATAAGTCAAACCTGCCAAGTTTCAGTTTATTTATACGATGTCCGTATACGATTGAAACGCGCTCGGTTTAGCTAGAAATCTAGCACGGAACTAATATACTAATAGTTGGGTTACTCAAATAGTAAGCCAGCGACAGAAATATAAAACAATCAACCGAACAATAATATCTCGCACGAGCATTCGCGTGTTCGCTTTATAAGACAGAGGTCACGATTAGTGGAAAACAATATAGGGCATTGACACGCGCAGTGGCAGATCGAATACTATACTGTGTGACTCATTCCCGTTCTCGTGTATTGCGAGACAACAACCAGTCGTCCCCGGAATGTGCCGTTATTGGCACACGGTGAATCGTTTGCTGCAGTCAGCGTTCTCGTAGACACTCCCAACGCGGTTGAATAACAACGTAATTACGCATTGGTGACTGGTACATGCAGCAGGGGCTCTCAGTGTTTGGCACAATTCGAGTTTATCCAGTTATTTATTTGTGAATACGTCTTTTGTGTCGCGTCTCGTCATCGAGTCTGAAGAGAAGCGAGATGTGAATCTTGCGTTCAGCGAGTATCCATGGTCACGTTGTGAGTAGCTGAGTGCATCGTAGACGTATAATCCATTCATGAAAGGTCAAGCAGAGTTAACGAATGTATATTATAAAAGCATAAACTCAAATGAGTGACAGTGCATTTCATTGGGTCGATGACAGACTCTGAATTCTTTTGATTTGGATTCTTATCCAAACCTCAAGTAGACTGTTGTAAACAACATGGCGGAATATTCTGTTACCGTGATTGGAGAAAACGCCCTAGCATGTTTTGCTATAATTGTCTACATATTCGTGATGCTTGCCCATTTGATATCAATAATATTCTGGTAAGTAAATCTTCTCTGTTAGCGACATTACTATAAAATAAAACAGCTTATAATATTTAGAGAGGTTCGGTTGTATCATCACTGTCTCATCATACATGGAGAACTGACCTTGGTGTACAATAGTGGTTTCACACATATTGAATTTTGGCATTGGGATACCATTTACACATTTGTGCGTGTTACAGTCGGGGAAGGGTTATCAGTACATTAGGATAGTATACAATGTTTGATTTTTAACTTGTGCAATACACACTTGGTAAGTCCAATAGGACACAAAAATACAGTAACTTTAACAATAACAAATAAAAATAAATCTAAGATTTAGAAAATAAAATTTGACAATATGCTGTTAATAAATTATCATCACTAAAGGAATATCTATGCATATTAAAGGGAGATGGGGGATGGAGGCAGGCAGGGTCAGGGTGAATTATTGTTAGAATAATACCAGCAACTATTGAAAACAGTGGCGTAGATACTAGTCTACATTGGTGATGGGTATTGGTTGGTATCTCGCACAATTATGCATCACCACAGTGTGTGTGGTCTTCAGTTTACATAGATATATATAAACCACTTTATACTTGCTTTTAAACCAAAGGAGCCATAATTTATAAATGTGTGTAACCAGAGGTGAACAAATACCTCTATGGTTTATCATACAATACAACGATGTGGATTAGTGCTGTATTTTGATTGGTGCATATTGTTCTATTTTTAGTTTTTACCCCTCATTCTCTTGGATATCACAGTGGCTGCTACACATGTATATTAATCAAATGAGTGATTCATATCTCGGTTTCAAAGCACAGAGTACATGTAAAACTGTATGAGATCAACCATGGTTTGTAAAACCTACTCAAAGCAGTCTGTCCCAGTACAGTCCTAAGACTCGTAATGCTGTGAGCATGCTTGCAATAATTGAATTGTTGCTTGAATACATTAACATTTCATAATTGTATTGTCATGGTAGTTGATTGTAATATGCCTGACCTGATTGCTGCCAATTGGCCAATCTAAATAACACAGTCACACTATTTACACAGTAATACCCAATTGCTTGTGGGCTGGGTGAAAGAATTTGTTTTTTTACTAGTATTTTATTCACATGTACATGTACATGTACCTGACAACACATTTTTTTTGTATGCAGTCATCTTGCATTTATTTATTTTTCTGTCAACATACAATTTTTTTCCCACAAAATCTTCCATCCCACACCTCAATAACAGGGAACCATTTACCTGTATGTAAATCAAATCTGTTTTATGCGCTAGTCGTTACAAACCCTGACCCTCCCCACCTTTAGGTATGTGAGAACAAGAAAAATCACCAGACTTGCTAGATATATTATGTCCCACCCCCTTGGGTAATACAAAAAATGTCTTATCGCCCTAAGCTATCCCTTCACTATTGTCCCCAGGTTGTTATCCCAAAGTCTGATATTTCATGAGAAAATGCCCAACCCTTTCAAGCTTCGCTGAACATCGCTATCCCAAGACAAGCCCCAAAGCAGGGTCACATACTCAGAGATGATAGGTGTTTGGGTTTCATTGACTTCATTGCATTACAAGCTTGTGATTTTTTTTCAACATGAAAAACTGTTATAGATTGTTAAGTGTACCTACAAGTTCACAATGCTCTTGGTCACCATCATTTACATAATTCAAAAACTATAGTCAATAGCTGCTCTACATGTACACAAGTCTGCATCTGGTTAACAAGATATTAACTCATTGAATGCTGACACTGCCAAAATGCCTGTATATATAGATTCAGGGAAAGGTACAATAAAAATATATGTTGTCGTATTCGTCCCAGATGTAAATTGTTTTCTAGTGGTTTACAATAACTCATGAATTGTTTTGAATTGTCTTCCAATTATTATCAAACATTTGATTGGGGTATGTCACACATGTATATTTCAGGTGTTAGATCAAAGGTCATGTTGGCCGTGATTTACAATTTTTTTTTATCACATTGATCAGTGTTTCCCCTCAAAATCACATGTACCGGTATTTATTCAAGTCACATTTTTCAGGTCAGACATTTTCTTTTTGAATAATCAAATAAAAATAAAATAGGGTAACCATTCATCTCAATTCTCTATCGTCCATGAGTATGTCTTCAAAAGCACATCATAATATGTAGATTTATCTGAATATAAATGCAACTACTCAAATTTATCTTTCTGTGTTATTTGTATGCAGTTTAAACTATATTACATAACTTTATAATGGGTGGACAAATTTGATTTTTTGCAAATATTTTATTCAAATACTGTAAAAGGATTAATTGTTCACTGGGTTTTAATTTTGCTTATTTCACTGACTGGAAAATGCGCTAAATTAAAACCCAGTGAATATGTAAAATTTAGCATAGAACACATTATCTAAATGATAAAACCGTGAATTTAAAACTCACTGAATATGCCTGAAATGGTAAATTAGCGAAATTTAAACCTAGTGAAAATTAATAGTCATTTCACAGTATATGGTGACTTTCATGAAGACATGAGCATTTTTTATAGGAATTTTCAAAACATTTACCCTGGAAATCCAAATAATTCACTTTAATTTGCTATACCAAGATAACATCAGCATCATTCTTTTTGACATTATTGTTAGTTTTATTGTATTAATTATGCGTGCATCTGGATAACGTAGTAATAATTCATGATAATCAGAATTACACATCTTATAATAACATACTATTTTTTCCCTATGCATTTATGCCACAGAACTACATGTATATTTTCAGATCTTTTCTCTGTCGGAACTAGGATTACACTAGAAGTTGTTACCATATGTTTTGATGTCGGTTTTGTGAACAACATCATATAATAAAACCATATTGTAAAAAATCATAGAAATCTGAATATCCGTTCTAATACCCGCGAATGACCTTAAATGCATAGAAATGTAAATGTAGATCATTGTGAATAAATTATTTCATGTGTTAAACACTCTTTCAAACACAGAGACTATGACATTCATGTCTTGTTTGCGCATCTTCATGTATTCGATAAAAACTTTTACTCAGTAAATTATCAAGAATTGTAGTGCTTTTCAATTCTCATTGGTCATTCAATGGTTTCCCAGTTCGCCATTTCCATCTATTGTCCTTTGCACAACATGTGGGTGTGAATAGTGGCATTATATATACATTAAATACAGTAGATCTATTTCTGATCAACATTTTGGCATATATTTTTCCCATCATATTATAATGTTGTTTGAAGACTTTTATCTAGTTCATTATATTAACTATTTTCATTGTTTTGTTTTTTAAGACCTATTACGAAACCTGTAGTTGAACTTATGAAATTATGGTATCATGATCTGTACTTACAGACAAGTGACAACCAATTCGGAGTTTAAAAAAGTCATTTTACAGTGTATATTTTTAGCTAACAGTCCTGAGTCTCGTCTTTATGCTGTTTAGATGCCTCAAAGCTCTTTGATTGTATGAATCAATGGACGTACATGTAGTTATGCAAATTACTCTCAAGAGGTGTGCCTAAATTTATTGTGTGTTGTTATACACACCAACAGTTTAATGTCAGATGGGCTTATTTTCTGTCTGAAAGCTTTCATGCACTAAACTTTGCGAGTCAGAGTGGTATTTTGTCACCCCGTCTTTTTACAGTGTATGTTCATGACCTTAGAAACCGGGGTCATACATGTATGTCTGGAAGATTTCTGGATCATTTGATGTTCGCTGACGACTTGGTGTAGTATTAGCTGTGTTCCTATGTATATTTAGACAAGATTAAAGTTTAATTTCTCAATGAAAAATTATATTTAAGATTATTAATTAATGGTTTACATAGCTGGTAATGGTAATTCCAATATTAGACGTCGTATGAAATCATTTTATGCTAAGCTTAAGATACTAAGATTTTTGGATTGCTATTCTATGAATTGTTCACACATGTGGTGTATTTTCAAAGAAACACATGAGTGATGTACATGCAGATAAAATAATGCATTCTGTATTCTGGTCTTGGTCATAACATAAGCATATTCCAAACCCTTGTGTTGAATGACTTTTTCTTTCAGCAACCTTGTCTGTTGATTTAACCTTTTCACCACCAGACTTTCTTGCCCAAATTTTTCTGTACTTATCTCATATTCTTCAATATTTCTAGACATGAACCAACACAAAATTTGAGTCAATTTTTTCTCAAAAAAATTTTGCTATTTTTGTCCCAATCTTCTGAAGGATTGTTCAGACTATAAACAGGACTATTTTGTGAATTTGTAGTGAAAAGTGGGAACTGGTTGTGAAAAGGATAATGAGAATTAGCCAGTACAGGCAATTTTGATTCATAAAATTGTTTAAACCTATAGAGTCTGACAATCAATGCAATTATTAATCACTTACATGTGTTTCTATTAGAGCAAATACTCTATCACAAAACACTACTGACATGCACATGGTATTTAAATTAAAAATAATGAAATACCAAAGAATGGAATCTTAGGTGTTGTTTCAGTGTATACAATTTACTGCAGAATACTTTATTTTTCTTGGAATTTATTTTCGCTATTTTCGCTGAAGGGATGATTCCGTGAAAATAAAATCCAGCGAATATACATTTTTTCCTATATTTTACATTAATCTCATCAAAAATCAGTGACAATAAATTCCAAGCAAAACGCCCAAAAAGCCTTTTCAGCGAAAATAAATTCCAGCAAAAATAAAGTATTCCACAGTATCACATTCTTATACACCAGGACGGAAAACATGGTAAAACCTTTTTCAAGTAAATATTAAATGAAATACTCGAACAGAATTCATTAGTTCAACAATCCATGTGTATACAGTGTATACAAGTACTGCACAAAAATATGTGTCAGTATCATGTGATCGATGGCCTCTCCCACCAATTGCTGACATCACATTCCACAAATAGTCCTGGTATTACAGAGTTAGTCATTGGAAAGACTTATGTATTAGAATTTACATTTTGTGATTTGTCATACTAGTAAATGTTA